TACCGAATTTATTCTTTGTCCAAAACATAGAAACCCGTAAGTGGGACTGGATCAATGGTAAATACCCTGAATATCCTTAGTAAGAATGTTACATAGCTTTATTTATACAAGTTTACTTAAAAGTCGTTTTTTGGCTGATTTCTTATTTTAAGATTTTTTACATTGTGTGGGAAAATAAATGATGGACCATGGAATAGAATACGGAAAATATATTATAGAAAAATTGTCTAGACAGCATAGATATTTGACATTGTTCTTTCAGAAGCGAAAATTCCTCTTTTAACCTTGAATTCTTTTAGTCCTCGGGCCAGTGCATGGAATGTATCCATCAAAGCAAGGTGTGATCCACAGCATGAAAGGACTATAGACTATAGAGACTATAGTGAATATGGAGAATACTCTCTATAGTCTGTGGTGCAAGGTTGTGAAGTGTACTGATAAAAAGAAGTGGCATGTACCCGGATCCGAACCCACGACATCATCGTGAAGTCGGTGGTGCTACCATAAATTAAATGAGTAGTATATCTACTCCTATGACGCTACAGGGCGCTATCGACTGAGCTACCTACTCACCATTTTCAATTGGAAAATTAGAATTGATATTGTTCTGGTGTTAGTTGGAGAGGCCATAGGAGGTAGCTTTTAAAAACGTAAGGCCACTGCCGCCCCCAGAAGTGGCCCAATAAAATGTATTTCACTCTGCCAATTGCAACATTCGACCTTCGGGGGCGTTACTGACTCACTAATATCAATCCTGGTCCATTATGGTACCTCCTCTGGACATCGGCTCCTCCTATGGCATTGTAGAGTGGCCAGACTTGCACCACTTCAACTAAAAGGAATTCCAAATGGTGGTGAGGTGGTGAGATTACAATCTGAATCGGGCCAAAGAGATTAGTTTTAAGTGTATCGGAATAGTTGGGAAGAGAGGAAATATTTTCTATGGAAATGAAATCAGATTCGTGTTTTTTATTCTCCCCACCAACTTAAACGACTCAGGAAAATGTATATTCAAATTTAAACTCACACAAGTAGATTTAACACAGCAGTTTAATTTAGTGGCCTTCCCATCAATTCAAGCCCTCTCAGATCCGGGATGCTTGAAAAGGTACTTAAAGTCATTTCTCGCAGGTAAAGGCTACTACAATGTCCGTTCATTCTCTCTAAAATACAGTCACAATATATTTATTTCCTATTTTTAATGGCAATTTTCCTAGAAAACCCATAAAATTCATCTGAAAAATAAAGTTTTCAGAAAAACTTTATAACATTTAGTATGTATAGTCCAAACGTTATGGCAACTTATGTGGTTTTCTCAAACACCGCTTAAAATAACGGAAAATCTCTAACGGAAAAAACGGAAAAAAACTACTCGATTCGTCTACGATATGATGAATAATCACAAAAGAGATATCATAATCGTCACAAGAGGTCACGAGAGTACAAATCACCTCCTCCTCTCTTACAATGGATTTGTGAGAGGATGCAACATCCACAATGTTATTTATAACAAGACCTTTACGCATTTCGTGTTGCATGGCACGTGGAATTACAGAGCTACATGGAGTTGGATCTAAACAATGAGGCATGCCGGACCTTGGGCGCTAAACACTAAACACCGAACTCTAAACATATCTTCGTGAGATGGTGAGATAAAGGGAGAGGCGTCGTGAGGCCTTGGGAACTCTTTGTGTTATGTTTATGGTTGCGATTGCTGGGCATCTGAGTGGAGTGCTCAACAATCAAAAGGTCGCCGGCGATCCTGAAGTCAGTAGCTTCATTTTGACGGTTCGAATGCCAGCTGTTCATGATTGGGCTTTAGACTAAAACAGCTGATCTTAGTCAGTAACAAAGCTACACACACCATTCTAAAACCCATCCTTCACTCATATTTTGGTTTAAATACGCACCTAGGTGGATGAATTGAAGACTAATAATTGATTTGTTTTTCGTTCTCTGTAGCGCATCGTTATTTGGGAAACTGTTTTTTGTTTAATTTTGGAACGAGAAAACACAATAATAAATTGTATCAGCAATCTAACACATACTTTCTCCCATTAGCTTGTCTACATCCCTTATCATGGGTAAGCGGTGGGAGTAACTATGACATTTAATGGGCAAAATTAAAAAAAATTCTATAACCTTTACACTGTATTATTTACAGCATTGGTAGTTGTGCAATTTTGTTTATGTATGGTTGTAGCATTGCCTATTGGATACTGAAGTAGACAACCCATCTATGTAGGTCAGTGTCACCAATATCTTATGGAAAAATAGCAGTTATATGAGCCAGTCACAGAAAGAGCTGATGTATAAAATTATATTTTCTACCTTTTTTATGACGACCAAGATGATGAGTCATAAAATTTGCTATAGCTCACAAGTCATTCGATTAGTTTGACAAATTGTGTATGTGACAGAAATTAGTAATTTACATCAGCCGAATCAGTCAGGGCTCACATAAACTTCGACGATTTTTATTTAAAACTTGTGACAACTTTAACATGGGAATAAGATGTTTAGTCAATAGTCAAAGGTTGTAGCTAATAACTAACAAATTGTCTAGCGGGCGAATGACACACTTACCGCAAGCAATGTCCTTACAAAACCCGTATTTTGGCATGCTCAAAGTCCATTATTTGTACATTTATTCGTAATTCCCTAGGTTTGTCACATTAGATTTCCCTAAGTATTTATAGGTATCACCGTTTTATACTCTACTGTTGTTCCACAAACAGTTTACAGTTGCCAAGTGTACGTGCCACCTGCAGTAGAGGTACGAGGCCGTGGCCGTGACGAGGCCTTCACCTCGGTTCCTCCTCGAACCTCGAACCTCGAACCTCGCGACGTGAAGACGCTCCAACCTCGTGAGGCGGATCAGGATAACCTCAAGAGGCTATGCAAAAACTGTTACGACAAAGTAAGTCACCACCATAATCGCTTCGGGAAAACCTCAATGAGTGACAATGTGTATACTTTCAAACGTGTGATGACATATTTAGCTAAACGGCCCAGTTTATTTGGAAATGTGGTGAAGTTTGTTGCATTTCCATTTATAATAATTGATTTGAAATAAAGTACGCGTTTTTTAGATTGAATAAAGATTGTGGTTTCAAATGTATTTACTGTTCCTAGTTAATCTACTTCATTTACAGTTTTAAAATGTGTTAAAACGTTGAAAGTCGGATATTATGATGGGGTACCTTTTTTGTGATGTTGTTAAAAAACTCAAAACTCTTCTGTGTGAAGAAAACAACAAACATCTGTAAATTGTGTTAATTGTGCACTTTTCGCTTGGCTTGTTGATTCAACTTTGAGCTTACATTTTATGGTTTTGCATTAAAATCCGATCATTTTCAAAATAAAGTGTTTAAGAAGAATCTTGCACTATAATTCCAACAATATTGGTTTACCTAGGATGCTAGGCTCTATTGTTTTTCACATTACTTCATGCTAGACCTAGGGGTTATGACATCATCACTTAGATCAAACCCATTGGTCATTGGTGGGATTTGAACCCGTCACTTCATGGAACAAAGTCCCGCAGTCTACTACTAGACGAGCTAGCTCTCTCATAACGTCAACAATTAAAAAAACGTCTTCAACACTACTACATAAAGTTTGTTATTTCGGTTTACAGACGATTCCGTTTTAGACCCTCTATTGCAGATGTTTTGTCCCTTTTGCATTAAACTATTTAAATAATTTCAGAAGTGTACAGTTTTCTACAAAATCATCACTAAAACGATAACAAAATATTTGAAAAGGTGAATATTGTAATTTTTGGTGAACATTTTCTAAATTTCCAATAACAACAGGAAAGTGTCTGGACTGTTTTCTCTTGACGATCAGACAAATAAACACCCCCAAGGTTACTTAGTGAAAGCAAGGGTGGCAGGGAGGGTATTTTGGTGGTTTTGTAACCGCAACAATAATAATAAAAACACATAAACCACTTAGATAGCGTAATAGAAATAATAATAACCTAGTCGCATAATATACAGTTGCTTCACAACATTTACCAACAATCAAACGTCCATTATAATCTTCCATCATCATTTCTAAAACAAATATATGCTTTTATTGGAAAGATTCCAATCGTCATGGGCGATGAAAACGTTAACTTAGTTACAAGAAGTCTTTTTTACAAGAAGGTAATTGTTTTAGACTTAAATCCAACGAGGGGTTAAAATGTAAACATCCTAAAATAATGTATACGATTTGATAACTATGTGCGTTTTTTTAATTGAATGTTAAAATTTGATGTCATATAAATAAAACAAAATGTACAATACTATCGACGTTATATAATCAGTGAATACTTAAATTGAAATTCGTGTGGTTATATAAGAATCTGTGAATAAGAGCAGAATCGGCTTAGGACCACTTATATCGTGGCAAATTCTTCACTTGCCGCTCTACACAATAGCGTTTACCATAAATTGAGTAGGCTACATGGAATACTTAAATATGGGGGATCTCCAATATGTTCCACATAAATCTATGAATTATCTTAACAGAATGGTTTATGAATTCATAGTTATTGGTGCAACTACAGCAACTATAGGAGAACTTCGACCAACGTGGAGGTGAATAATCTTCAAACCTTCTTACAAATAAAATATCATTATAATATACACAGATTAATATCAGCTGGTCTAGTGGCACAGCTTGGGTATACTGTGCCTGAGGTCCCGGGTTCAAATCCCACCAATCACCATTGGATTTTATCTATGTGACAATGCCGCGACAATGCGCGCTCTATGACTAGCCTGATGTAAAGTGTAAAACAGTTCCAATTTAGAACCTTGCGTCCTAGGAAGTGAAGATGGGACACAAGAAAAAAAATATATATATATAAATTTAAAGTCATGTTGCACTGCAACCCTTCAAAACAATCAAACATAAACCAAAACCAATTTAAAAATAAAAAAAAATATTTAAAAATGTATCCAAACTTAACAAAATGAATTGAAAAAATCTTATTAAATCTAACTCACCGAGCAGTTACAGTATATATATCCAAACCACTGAACACTGAACACGAAACACACACACGCGGTTGGTTCGTCAGACGGTTACTGAGTCTAACACTGAGTCTACAAAGCACTGAGGAGTCCCCAAGGGCGACCTTCCGACTACTTCCTAGCGGCCCCGACCTGCTTCCTGGCTTCCTACCGTCTCTGGCCCTCTGGGGTAGCAAGGTCACTCGGAGTAGCCAGTGGTGCAGGTCAGTAGTGCAGAGATCCAGAGATAAGGGCTTAATGTTTGTTATTTGCTTGACTGGAAATTATATCTTAGGTTTTCCACGTTTGTAGTTAACGAAGAAAACGTGTATATTTAACAGCATGTTGAATAGGCTTAACTAGGATGACCCTAAGGGGGGTTACTCTGGGGGGTTTGGGGGGTGTAGAACACCCCAAGGGAAAGGGGTGGGTCCGGAGAAAATTTGTGAAAATTAGACCTGTAAACATGCGTTTTACTACTTAGAGACATAAAACCAATTTTTTACTGTAAAAAATATCGTTAAAATCGCGTTTTAAAGTCAAGTAGGGGGGATTCAAACTCCTAACCCCCCACGGATACCCCACTGTGTTTTAATAAAGGATTCTGGTTGAAAAGCCATCCTTTATGGTTTCAAAGTTGTATTTGAACGTCTTACATTTTGATAAAAAATACATATACAGTAACAAGTTCTCTGTGTTCACTGACTTTGTGACTTTTTGTGTAGTCTTGAACCAGTTTAAAGTTTAACAGATTTTTTTACCTTGATTCTACTAGGTTATTCAGTCACTCCAATGGTGGATGGCGATCGTTTCTGCGACTATGAACCATAGAACTATAAACTTGTAGTTCTATGCTATGAACGCGTCAGATTCTTGTCAGGAATAACCATATTCGCCTTTATTGAGGTGGTCGAAACCAAATATACACACACGTATACATAGATTTATCACTAAATACTTGATGTGTTGTGGCTACAGGTAGGCCCACGCACTGTTGACACGTCAAAACCATATATATTTGTTGTAATAAGTAGTAAGATAGAGTTTGCGATGTTGGTCATAGAGCGACACTTGGATAGACCGTGACATGTTGGTCACGATTTTTATACAGTACGTTTAAAAGCTGATTATTCTTAAATTCTGCGTGCTAATTATGGATCACTGATAAGGATACAATAAAGTCACATGACGAGCAGATATTTGATTTTTCCTTGCAGAGTTTTATAGGACCCCTGAATTGTAAACGATTTTTACATCAATACAACACCGACCAGAGTTTGTATTTTAATTCAAAGATGGGTGAAAAATGAAAGTTAAATAAATGAGAATGAAGATTTTTTTCAAATTGTTTTTAAAGCTAAGACAATTTAAGTCCAATTATTAGAGGCAGTTGGGTCCCATTTTAAACCATTATAATCAATAATTAATTATGTAAATACTATAAATATGTAAAGTAACCGATACATTAAAATAACTTAGGAACTTTTATGTTTAGTTAAGGGCAGATCCTGAAGGATTTTTAAATGATAAACATATGATCGAAATGGCATATACTCCAAAGCCCTACACGTTGTATACCATTGATACGCCACCTAGGTGCGTATTCCAACCCAAATATGAGTGAAGGATGAGTGTAGAATGACGTTATGAGATGCCTTGTGTAGCTTTGTTACTGACGAAGACCAGCTGTTTCATAAGCCAGAATTTATTAAAAGCCGCTCAAGGACAGCTGGGTCCAGTTTCGAACCATCAAAAGCTACTGTCTTTTCTCAGGATTGATCTGGTAACCTTTTAATTGCTAGGGGAGTGAGCACTCAAACCTTTCAGCCACTCAGCCAGTTCTACCGATACTTCGTAGTAGCATTGACTATGAATGTAGTAGTGAATCTATAATCCAAAGGTTTTCGCCTCCACTTACGCTAAACAATTCCAACAGTCACTACTGCATACACTTCTGAAACCCGAACACGCTGTTATGCAGGTCAAGACCACAAGACCAGCAGACGAATATTTTGATACGACCAAAACAAAGTTGTTGAAGTTAATCAGCGGTTCCATGAAGACTTGTTCGTAAACCAGCATGACAAGGGTTAGCACACACACTGATCTACTATCACTCACACACACACACACCAACGTCCTTGCCGCGAGCCCAGGAAACTTCCTGATCGGAACTGGGTCGAGGTGGACGCCCCTGCAGACAATGTTTTCCGCGTCGTAGAGCCGCTACCTATGATTACGTCATGTGGTTTAAGGGATTTGAGAAAATAATTAAATCGTAGGCGAGACTTCCGGTTGAGGTTCGATTGGGTTTTGTTATCTGGATAATGTATAGGTGCTCGCCTGCTAATCAAAAGTTCACCGGCTCAAACCTGAGGAAAAGTTAGTAGCTTTTTGAACGTTCAAAACTGGAACCATCTGTCCCTTAACATTGCTTTGAATAAATGATCCTGACTGATGAAACAGCTGATCTTAGTCAGAAACAAAGCTACGTAATGTAGATAATCTCGCTTCACTCTAAACTAATATTTGGGTTAAAATACACACCTAGGTGGAGTCTCCGGGTGTAGGAGTCTCCAGAGCAATTGATAAAGTTATCAAAAATATTGTATACGTAGCGTCAGTACCCTTAAATGTGGGAGTGCACCTATTTAAATTGATTTTACCTAGCGTTCAGGCATTTCAGGGGCACTCCCAGATTGCTAAGCTGTTGCTATGGCAATGATCACAGAGGGAAGGCCAACTCCTACGAGCGATGTTATGAAATTTAGTGACTCAAGTTCTAAGAATTTAACCAAGATGTTTCAAAAGGGATGAATGTACTTCATCATCTCTTCCTCTTTCCAATCGAAGAATTTACAAAAAATATAAAATTCTTATAACATACATTACATTTGGTATTGTTTTTAGAGTAAGTAGGAAACTCCAGTTGAAGGAAAATTCAACAACGGTTACACGTCACAAATTTTACTGTAGAAAACAAATAGGTCACGGCTTTTGGTGTTAGCTGAAATATAATTCAATATACTTTAAACATCAAAACATGCATGCTGCATCAAGTTTAGTGTGTGTTTGAGTTAAAATATTTATTAACAATTGATTTATTCTACCAAAAATATTGCACCTAGGTTAGGTTAGGTTGGGTCGGATCGGGTTAGTTTGGGTTGGATTAGGTTAGGTAACGTCACGTTAAGTTAGGTTAGGTTTTTTTAGCTTATGTTACGTTGGGTTGGGTTGGTTAATATTAAATTAGGTTGGATTGGGTTAGCTTAAGTTGTTCCAAACAATTTGAAGTTATATTAATGAGTCAAGCCATTATCATTGACTATTGGATACTGTTGTATTGATAGTCAAATCCATTATACTACCGGACAGGATAGCTGAGTGTGAGTGGTGGTAGCACCTTCTTCTAATATATTTGCTGGTTCTACACGTTCTACACAGACTACAGGTCCGGTTCTATCTTATCACTAACCATTGCCTTGCTCATGTAACCTTTACTTGATAAAAATTAGCAGAGGTTTTTGAATTATTGAACAAATTAAAAAAAAAAAAAACGTTTATTACAAACCATTGACTAAGTGCATTAAAAATACTCAATTAAAGAGTGTATTTGAATGTACGTATTCACAGAGAAGTGTATAAGCGTGAACCGGTCGAATAGGCATTTGTCGTTGAAATATCAACGATGTTTATGACACTAGATATCCGTACCTAACCTAACCTAACTTAACCTAACCTATCTTAACCTAACCTAACTTAACCTAACCTAACCTAACTTAACCTAACTTTATACTTTAGCCAAGCCCACTCTAATTACATTGTTGACGAAAACAAACTCGTGTAAACAAACGAAGAAAAAATCAAGCGACCTGTCAAGTCACTCACTATTTTCTTTTTAACTCACTAATTTGATTCTATTATCAAGTCCTCATTCGTCAAAGTGGTGAAATATTTTGTCTGAAAATATGTAGCCTATCTAAAACCCCGCAACAGAGAAACAGTAAAAACCTTACTTGTTGGACAGCTATTAAGGTAAACCAATGCGCAATTCGGACAACAAATTGCAGAAATGCAAGGTGCACGTGTATTGCGCAATTCCGTTCTGTATGCAGCGACTGCGATTGCGCGCTCTCTACTTGCGCCGCCGGACAACTTGACAAACTTTCCAACCTTCTGATTTCTAGGGATTTAATACGTAATGACAAAATACACTTTGTTAAGCTGTATTACTATCGACATCGGACATACGGTGCAGTAACTGGATAATTTAAGCATATTTTACTGTATTGCGATATTTTTGTGAGAAAGCTGTAAGTCTCTTTTGCTTTATCTTAAACGTAGTTTAATGACATTAGGCCCATTAGCTCTCAATCAACAATAGCACATTAGAACTATTGGTCTATTAGTTATTGATATCTTTATACACATTGTTTTTAGCCATTTTGACAGCTAAAAAAAACTATTGAAAAATAACTCAACATCTTCATTAATGTAAAAAAAATGTTCTGACTAATACAATCATATCCCAAATACAATAATTAACTTTCGATACTGCGTTCCTATTGTGAAATTTTCCAAACACATGTTTTGATCAGAAGGCATCATTTATGTTCGCCATTTTTATTGATGTTTAGTTAAGGTAAGCTAAGATGGCGTTGATTGTAACCAAAGGTTTATCCCTTCTTTGAGGGTAAATTAACTTGGGCCTTACATTGCACTTGGTACTTTACTTTACTTTATAATACCATAGAAAAACAGTTTATGAATACTAGATCGTATGTATTTACTATGGAAGGTGTTTTTTAACGCATCCCGAATTACAAGTACCGTAAGATACTGTTTAAGGAAAACAAATCCTCATTATTTTTGGTATCTCCGTTTTTTTTGTTTTTTTTTGCTGATCAGCTGATATGCATTGTTGCATTGTTGTCTACAAGGTTTAGTCTTGTTGGGAATTTGAGCTTTATATATATATATGCAACCATACACATCAGCTGATCAACAATGAATTAAAGGATTCAGTGCTACCAACTTATGAGCTTATTTTGTCCTCAAACAGTGTCTATTGGTTCTTATAATTTGGGTTGAGTAAAAAAACATCTTGTA